ATTATTGCATTTGGTACTTTATTATCAATCACACCATAACGGCATTCTTTAGGGAGCGCATCAAAGATTTGTTAATACTAGGATTATCTCTACTAGTCCTTTCATTATTTAAAATGTAATTATCATACATTATTTTTTACCCCTCTTTAAAAGTTTCCATCTTTAAGACTCAAATTCATAGTCTCAAAATTAAAACTAAAGGGTGTTTATCAAACGAACAACAGTTACTTGTCAAATATAATCATCATTTAATATATTACAAAAACACCTTTTTTTCTAAATGTTTCTCTACTTTTTCTTGACAAGTGTCATCATCATTCTTTCCTAGGGAAAATGGACACTCTTTGTTTCAGGTAGAATTATCACTGTGTCATTTTGTCACGACAATAAAATATAAGTATGATCATTTATTTGCTTCTAGAGGAAGCCTATTCCAAAAGGCTCCTCAATAATCATTCCTTATATCATGTCATGATAAAAGGAGATGTTAGATTATAAATAACTTTGAAAAAATCCTCTAAACAATGAAAATAACTATTGCTTTCGAAGACATAATATGCGAAGGGCAAGTAATACCTACTATTTTGTACTTGACTAAATTTCAAATTGACTGGTCTAGTAGCCAAACAAAGGAATCCTTTCAAAGGCTATAATTAAACGATGAAGAAAAAATCTAAGAAAATATGAAGAGTCAAGTAGGGTACGCGGGGGGTTATTTTCACATGGAGATAGACCTGGTTGACCCTAAGTGTGGGATCGCTATTTACAATAATTGACAGTCAAATTATTATACACACACACAAAATTTACCTCTGTTGTCAAATTGAAACTGTAAGTAGAAGGTATTTATGATATTTATATAGCATGAATTATGTAATTGATGTAGTAATTAATTTTGAATTACCCTTATCAGAAGAGAAATGTAAATTCAAATCATAAGTATCGTATGCATGTGTCCTGACTTACGAGTTATTAATCTATCTATAAACGAAAATTTTAATGGCGGAGTCAATCTTTTTTGAAGAGATATCAATTAATATCTTTCGTTGAAAAATTATATCGTGTAGAATATAAATATTAACTTTTTCAATTATATGTAGGAATAGTGAATTCATTTATATTCAAATTTTAAGGTGAAAAATAATCTCAATTTATATGAGTCAGTTAAAAAAGATGATATATTTTTACCTTTAATGAAATGATTTAAAACTACATAAACATTTATAACTTATTTTAGACCACAAATTTTAAAAATCATTATATTTTCCTTAAACTTTATACCGAATCAAATTAAATTATATAACTTCTTATTTGTCCAGGGTAGATTAATCAATCGCTTTGTTCAATCTTTATGAGTAGTAAATGTTGCAACGGTCAGCAACTGAATCTGAAACCGACCGTTGGGTTTCATCACATGTCAATTCACCGCTATTGGCTCGTGAAGATCATGTGCCATACTGGTGTCATGTGTAACCTTCTGATGATGTAGAAAGCTAACGTGGCTCCCTTATTTAATTCTGTAGATGCAATTAATGGAGAGTCCTCATCAATTGTTAATTATTGTTTCCAGGTTTTGTGACAAAACGAGGTTTTCCTCTTTTGACCAGGGGATTTTTGAGAAATTTTTACATACCCACTTAGAATAAGAGAAGAATATATAAATTCACTTATTTGATGATTTTTTAAATAGTTGGATGGAAGTAGGTGGACTAGGTATAAAAGACACAATGTTTATCTTGTCTATGACAAGGTGCGGAGATTGGCAGCTCGAGTTGAAGTCATGCATATGACATTATTTATTCGGTGGACTTAGTTAAAAAATAAAATTATGTCTCTAACTATTATCAGATTTAATTTTTAGCATTACCCGAAGAAATTGAACTTCAAAAATATTATAATTGTTACCAGTAAAGGTAGTAATTCGATTATGTGAGGCGTTGATCTGTTGTCTTTTAATTTTCCGATTGTTTTTCTTTGGGGATAAAATAGTAGAGGAATGGAGCATTAAATGAAATTTGTCTTGATGTCTGAAGAAGCGGTGGACAGTGGCCTCTGTTTGTTTTCTGGTCCGTGAAATGTTGCAAAAATACTTTTCTTTCTTACAAAGTTAGTTATTAGTCCATGTTCATAGCTGGAGGGTGGAGGTGCATGCTGAATAGTACAAATACTAATTAAGGCAACTGACGCCATTTTCCCCCAATTGCCATGTGAACATGTTGAAAGGTTAGCAACTTATCACTTCTCAGGTTGAAGTAAAATAAACAAAATAGAAATCAGATTGTTTTTAGGTACACGTAAGATTGCTAAGATAAGACAACTCTTTTATACACAGAGATTAATCAAGTGGGAAAGAAGCATTTGATCTTCTTCATAAAGTAAAATTGGGTACTCATCGCATCGTCGATTGGATTTTATAGAAACATCGTTCAACATCTACCGTTAAAAAATTATATTATATTAAATTACAGACGTTTTCTATACTAACTAAAAAAATATATATATAATGGTCGAAATATGTTTGGCAAGTGAGAATGATGAGGGAGAGCAGATCAGAACCCAAATTGTTTGGACTTTTAGTATTAGGCCCAATAAGTGCAGGTGACAACGTTTCGACTTTGACGACTAGTTGACGTGACCATTCTGTTGGAAATTTGTTACTTGTAAATGAATAGTACTCTATTTTATTAAAGATAACAAATGCAACGTGATCATATATACTAAAGAGGCTTTGCCCCTTATAGTCTGCCCTTATTAGTATGATGATATGAAATAGAAAGACTTGGGATTTTCAAAACAGTGTCTGGTAAAAAATTGAGCTAATTAATTAATATCAGAAATATATTTAATTTCTGCAGTTCTGACATGAAAAATGGAAAATTGGGCATATCTTCAAATCTGGAAAATTGAGCTCTTCTGTTGTTTTGTGTAGTCTACTAGAAGGTATTTGTATTTAATTTGGGCTGATGATCGTCCTTTTAACTGTAACAAATATCTTATAGTATAAGAGTTATATTACTATTCATAAAATATTTCATATCAAAGTGTAGTTACAAATTAATTTTACCAAACCAATCTAACGTGAACATTTTACCATAAATGTTTAAAATTTTATATATAAACTATATTCATATTATGTAAGTCGGACCATTATATTATAGCAATCTTAACTAGTGACTAGAGTATATACTATTAATTATATTACAAAATAAGATATATGTTTTTAGGACAAATTAGCAAAACAAAAATATAATAACTTCTAGTAAATTACCCATTAAGAATTTATTATTATCTTTTATTTTACGTTGATGGTAAAAATAGACTAAGCTTTAATCCAATATGATCTTTATATAAATATCATAACAATAGTAAAAGCACCGTTATAAAATACTAGCTCTCTAATATGCATAGTACAAAAAAAAGTTATTGGCTGAAGTTCGTATTTTTTATCACATATAGTGTCTCGTCCTAGAGAACTCGACATATGTACACTAAAAAGAAGAGGTACAGAGGATAAGAAATAGAGATATAGGAAAGAAAAAGAATAAACAAAAAGGAGAGGAAAGAGTGTTGAAAAAGTGTTTGTATTCACGTACATTTCAAATAATATTTAATAAAAACTTGTTCTTTTTAACTTTTTGTTCAATTAATGCCTTCAAATTAGCTAAATGACTCTGGAAATATAATTAATAAATATATACATTCATGGAGCAAAGATACAAAAAAAATAAAATTAATTGTTGGTTTGTTTTATAAAGACACAAATATATAAATCAATTTTTATTTTTTATTTTGGTATTTTGAGGTTTCCTGTCCCCAATATCTTTCTAATGCCCATATCCTTTCTAATTATTTTGTAACTTTATAAAAGAAAAATACTTAACCTCTTTTTGTCAAATTTTTCGTCACCCATAACATTAATATGCACCATATTCTAGATAAACTAAAATAATCAAAATAAGATGAAAAGGAAATCCACATATCAAATTTATGTTGTTTATTATGTCTAATTATCACCTTTAACAGATTGAATGGGTGTTGAAAAATTAATAAAATGTAAACATACAAAATAAAAGGATTAAAAGTTATATAAGTTAAATTTCTACGGTAAAAAAATAATTAATTTTTAAAAAATATGAAGTAACCATCTTCAAACTAATCATCTAGCTATATAGAATTCAAATGTAAAAAATGGTGAATTGTAATTTTCTTTACTTGTTATACTATTTTGAATTTCCTGGATAATTGATTTTTTTGGACATAGCTTATTTGGCCGGCCAAAATTTTAAGAAGTCAAAAGTTTTTTTTTCTTTCTTATTTACAAAAATATTTATTTAAAAAAAAAGGTGTTTGTCTAAGCTTTTGGAAGAAAATAATAAATATTTTTGAAAAGCAATAGAACTATCTTTTAGAAGTTAAAAAAAAAGTGTTTTTCCCAGAAACACTTTTGAAGAAAAAAAATACACTTACAAATATTTTTATTAAATATAACATAAATTAAATCTCATCAAAATTACTTGTAAAAGCTGATTTTAGCCAAACAAAATCCAACACGAATTAAACGGTGTGTAAACCAAGTATGTTGTGCAATATGGTCTAAACTTTTTCAAGGTCGGTCAACTACTAACATAAACTTTGGAATTGGAGCATATAACCATAATAAGTCCCAGGAGGCAAATGTAATTTTTTTTTAAAAATTAGCAGTTAATTTTTGAAATTGAAGACTTGTTATTACGAAAATATATGAAACAAATTTATGAAGTAGGATACTACTAGACTATAATAATTGTATATACATAGAGAAGTAGTATATTTTTAGCAATGGTAGAATAAGAGAGAATGACCATGACTTTCTCCAGGTTTCTTTAAGAGAGCCAAATAATCTCTGTATTTTCTTCCATGGTGTTTTGTTTATGGATCTTTTCTAAAACCCACAGTATACAAAATTAGCTATGCTTAAATTGCTCAATGTCTGATGTTTGCTATAAAATGCTGTACAATTTCCCGTTTATATCAGGTCAAGCTTTACGCTGCCCCCACAGCTTCACGCTCTTCCTTCCTTTCAGTAGTTTTTGGAGGAAATTTCATTGCCTTTACACGAAATGCTGCCTGCACATGATGAAAAAACAGGTTTTAAAAGAATAATGCTAATGCCAAAGTTTCGCGTTAAGCATATCACAGAAGATATTTTGACCTTATCAGAACCAAATTCGATAACATCTGATGGATGAAAACGTGTAGGGAAGTTTGGAGACGTCCGGTATCTTCTGCCTTCATTACTACATAACGCAGAACAAAAGTTATTCTTGTCTTTCATGTAATAGTAGAGTTGTATACAGGAACAAATGGAGCTTACTCTGTAACCCAGGTGCCATGTTCGCTTTGTAAATCAGTTACAAAAAATGCTCCGTCTTTGCAGGATATTCGGGCGTGCATTTCAGACACCTGAAATTAAAAAATATAATTTGACAATCCAATCATGCATTCATCTAAAGAAGGTCCACAATACTTAGCTATAGAATAATATGGCAATCACCTGTGGCAAAGGTAAAACTACTGATTTTCCAGGAATGTTTGTATGTGAGACAGACCTGAAACCAAAAGGCTGTCAGTGACTATTCTAATAAAACAATACTGCGTTATAAGTTTTCCCTTTACAGCCAAGTGAAATTCATTTCATGTCTGGTTCACAGTTTTGATAGTATGACCATGGATTGGATGTGTAAATTAGAGGAGATTGATGGTGAGATATTTGCAATTGGTGCATGATCTTTGAATAATTATGTATACGTCGAGAGCTAAGTAATAAGAATTCAGATTAAGAAAGAGAAAACTCGTGTTAGCTTTAAACTCTTTGCCTTAAATCCTCATTTCCAATAAAATGACTTGAACCATTTAAATCTTGTAAACTTTAGAAGTAGAAAACGAAACAATAACGAAGATTACTCTGTGCCCAGCCAGCTATGAACAATCTTAAATCCAATAAACCATACCCGATAGTGCAAGGGACATCCTCATCTCTGCTTAAAACAATAGCTTCTAAACCAGAAGTGCCATTCCCCGCAGGTAAAAGTAACCACCTGAAAGATAAAAATTAAGCATCAAATTTAGCAAGCAAACTAGAAAACAGGACATACATATAAATGAAATTTGTAAAGATTATGCTTGTCAAACTCAATCTGCATTAATATGAAATAAAGAAGGATCAGTTTGTGATTTTATTTTTTATTTTTAAAAAAACTCACTCTGCATCAGTAGCACGCTCTAATGCATCATCATCTTCAAACCATTTTCTCAATTGGTCATTTGCCTTCATCACCACAATACAGTGTATTAGTACTCCCATAAAATTCATACTTGTTAATTATGTAACAATGGAAACCACAGTTTTTTTATGTGATCATGTGCTGAGTGCATAATTCCTTAGGCTACCTACTTTCTCAGATAGCCTGCAATGTTTTATTCTGCCTTCAAGCTTGTCCCTGCAAGAAAAAAAAAGCCGAGTCAAACGACATAGTATATCAACTTCCATTGAACTCATCAAAGATTCACATTCACATGCTGGCACCATCTTTTCTTTTGTCTCAATGATAGGATGAGGGAAAGCTCAACTTCTAATTTTTCCAAATAAAAAAGAACTATCAATTTGAAACTTTAAGACAATAAAAAAATTTCCAGTAAAAGTTCTGACTAAACAGAATCAACAGAATAATCATGAACCATTGAACTGTGATAAAAGGCAGGGTTCATTGCAAGAAACATTAGAAGCAAAAATAAATATTTGGCTTTGCAATTTTACTCTCCAGCTATTGGCTGATCACATAAGTAAAAACCACGATCATGTTTAAAATATTGAACCAAGAAAAGGCTTGCATATTCCCTACCCATTGCCTCCTAGAACCCAACTTAACATCAGAGGCATTCCCAAGTCAATAAATACTCTTCCACCAACTCTTCCAGGATGTGGTATTCTATACTGCGTCAAAAACTGCAAAAAATAATAGAAATTCATATCTATAAGAAGAGCTCTGCTAAATCAGACAACTTAGCTGCTCATATTTCAAGTATAGACAAATTTCCATACTGATAGTGGACCAAGTCCGACGCCAAGATAAGCTTTGTAAGTAGATGCCATGATTGCAGCCATTCTAGCCAGTCCATGGATGACTCCAACTCGAAGTTTTCTAGCACTTTCATAGCTGTGGACAAGGGAAATCATAAAAGGATCAGCTAACTGGCAGAAACAGAAGCTGTTCAAATCAATTCATCTTCATTTAGGCATTTAAAGCAGGTTTTCTTGGCTGGTGGTAGGGTGAAGTTAAGACTTCAGCCAATTTCAAATGACTTTTCAATTACCATGAAGTCGCAACCTGTATTCAACCAACCACTATACAGCACTTGAGCCAATAAATAATGGATTACCTCCTTAAAGATGAGATGATATCCACAGGGCTTCCTGACTCGGCACTTCGACTACATGCTTTGTCAAGTTCCAGTGCTAGTTGATAGCTATCCTGTAGTTGTAAAAGGAAACGTTCAGTGGCTTACACAACATAACAATAATACCCTGCTTCTTAGTTCTTAGCAAGAAGGGACTAAGGGATACCATCGACCAATAATGCCATGTTAATTAAATGAAGTCACAAAGGCTAATATTAAGAGTGTACCTCTATGGCCATGCATCCCCCTTGACCCAAATTAGGCTGCATAGCATGGACAGAGTCCCCAAGCAATGTAACATGACCTCTTCCCCAACTAAAAGTTGGTGGTCTATCATAGATGTCACGACGAAGAATTGCATCTTCATCTGTGGCAACTAATAGGTCTATGACATTGTCACACCATCCCCCAAATATTTTAAGCAATCTTTCCTTTTTACCTGCAGCATGAACAGATAAAATATTGAACAATCAATGTAATGACAAGATGACTACAAATATTTCCCAACCTCTTGAGCATCATAGTGGCGATTTAAATTGTCATGATAACATACTCATATCCTGCAGCGCTAACCCCCCAAAACTAGTACTAAAACGATATAATCAGACATGCCTTTCATCGACAAGTTAATAAACAATTTCTGTGGTGAAGTAAGGACCTCACATCTATTAATAGATACAAACAATTGTGGTGCATCATTCTCTGAAACTTCTCAGAAATTAAGTAGATGAATTAGAGTGCACCTGCTTACCAAAAATTAGTTTATGACGCATAATACAGCACTTCAATTCAAAACTTTCCAACTCACAATTCATTGAATCTATCTCATTCTAATCTTGAGTCTTCTTTACCTTATTGCAGCACTATAATCAGGTCTCAACAAGGAAAAATCCTTGAGAAACCCCTAGGGTTAAATTGACATTACTTAACAAGTCAAGCATTCAGAAACGTCTTCTAGTAAGCACATCTATATCCTGAACTATAGTAAATAGTTTTAAGCGCCCTAAAAACTTTACCATTTGGAGCATCCACACCACCAGCTGGTTCATTGTAAAATGCATACCACTGCATCTTGCCTCCCCCCACATCTGAAGAAACAAAGTACTGTTTGTGGCCCAAAAAGACTCGGTACCTTCAGAAAAGAAATCTCAATTTAACCTCTACTATGAAAAGACAGCGCGAGCATAAGGGGGCCAGCAGACATAAGGACATGAAGAGGGAAAACACAATCTGATAAGTAAGAATATCATACCCAACTGTATCAATATCAGCAGGAACAAAATCTGCAATTCCAGTATAACAAGTGTAGCCAGAGTAAGTAACTTCACTGGGTCCAAACAAATTAGTCCGTACCTACAATAAAACACCAATGTTTGAGATCTTCTAAACCAAGTCGAATTGACCAACAAAGTCTCACTGCACAATAAAGACTCATATTTTTTAACATGGACCACAATCTCAAAGTAACATATGAACAAGTTACTCTATCCTTGTAATCAACCCAATTAGCAATAATAGAAGGAAACAAAATGAGACTGATTTTAAATACCTTAGACCTTATGCCATCAGCACCAACCAGAAGATCACCTGTAAATCGTTGTCCATTCTCAAGAACCACACTAACCTGATTTCACACAAACATGAGAAGCTATAATGAAAATTGATTAATAAGACACAACAATTAGCTACCATTGTCACTGATCGACACAAACTTAAATGAAACTAACAAAAGTTATAATCTTTCTTGATATTTTGAGAAAAGCAGATAGCCAGGTACCTTCTCCCCATCATCCTCAAAGTCTACAACATTACTTTCATTCATAATTGTATCCTCCCCAACAGCACGTGCAAGGATCTGCTGCAAAGTCATGCGGCTGATGACTCTTGTCACGGGAAGTCCACGTTCCACTGCTGGAGTGAACGTATCAAACTTGCAATACCTGATACCCAACTATTGTCACTGTGTGCAGTTCAAGAACTAATTTATCAATCTGATTGAAGGTAAAGATGGATCCTTTTCCGGAATAAGCTCGACAACTATGCTTCAATAAACTTTTGACTAAATGAATTATTTTCCCTCAACTAATTTCAGTATAATTTTCTGAAAGACAAAATATTTCATTATTTTCTTCAATTATCCTTAGTAAAAGCTTATGTATAATTGTTACTGTTAAATAACACGAAGAGTTTCTCTTCAGACAAGCACACAAGTGGGTTCTGAGGAGGGTGGTATCCCTGACTTTTGATGTCGACTCAAGTAAAACATATCAGAGTAAAGCATAAACAAGCACCTAATTAGCACAAAGAAATCACAGTGATGTGAATTTACCAGTTGCCAGAAATACCATCAACCAAGCCATTAATCCTTTGACCAGTGATGCAGCCAGCATTCATGATGTCTTCAGCAACATCCATATCAATTGCTTCCAAAGCAGCCAATGCATTGCTCTGTATCTGAATTGGACCTCTATATTGTCCCTCTCCTCTGATAGCACTTAAATCCCTCTCAAACACCAACACATCAAACCCCTTTTTCTTTGCTGCTAAAGCAAAAACTAACCCTCCAATCCCACCACCCGCAACAAGTACTTTCAACTTCTTCTGTGGAACCTTCAAATCACCGTTAACCCCAGAGTCACTCTTCTCTGTAGGAGTAACCGGAGCTTCAGTTATTGTGGCTTTTACTTTTACTCCTTTAACCTTCTTGATATGCCCATTTTCCAAGCTCCTACAAGGTAAAGAATGATATAACTCTGTAGGGAAGTCCTTGGAAATCAATAAAGGTAGCTGCTTTCTTGATAAAATTGAAGTGGAAGGATGAACTGAAGTGTAAAACACAGTTGAATACATCTTTTACTTGAACCCCAGTTCAAGAAAAGACTTGGTTTTTTCTTCCAATGTATGTATGATTCAATGAAAAGAAGATATATTGAAATTGTTAATTAGGCCAAAGAAAGTGGGATTTGTGGGTGATAGTGAGGGTGGTGGTGGGGCAAGGAAGATTGATAACCAAACAAGTAATGTATGATTCAGTGAAAAGAAGAAGTTATGGGAGTTGTTAATTAGGCCAAAGTTTGTTATTTAGGCATTTGAAAAAGGAAGTGGAAATAGTGGGTGATAGTGAGGGTGGGGCAGAGGAAGATTGAGAACCAATCCATGGTGCATTAAGCAGCACCAATGATGTAGATTCCATGGCCAGGTGGCTTGTCACTGTTGCTTCTTTGTGTTACTAAGCTGAGCCAGATGTTTGACGCTTGTTCACTCATAAATGCTGCATATTTATTTCCTCCTTTTTCTTTCTTTTACCTGCTTGACTTGCCATGTTTTGAGATTGAGCCTCAAAAATAAAATTCTTTTTAATAGCTACTAGTGGAGTAGTAATTTTTTTTTAAGGCTATATGTAGGAGAATCCAAATTAACCCGATACTGGACTCAAGTATCTAGTGGTCTAAAAAAGGAAACTTACGTAAATATATTGTATTAAAAAAAATATTTACCATTTCTAGTAATAATATTTTTTTTCACTTGATCACTTTTAATATATTTATAATACAATTTTAATACATATTACAAAAAACAATTTATTATTCACATATAATACAAGTTTTAATGATGGATAATACATTTATTACGTCAATTTGTTACCAAACAACCATAATATATTTTTAAAAAACAGTTATAATACATATATACTGCATACATAATTCACATTTAATACATATTGCAGATTTAACATAATATTGTTATGTATTGCTATAAATGGTAATCATAATAAGTATAGCTAAAATCAATAATTATTTATTAAAAGGTACCCATCCAAGTAATTTTTTTATCTAAAAAAAAAATGAGGAAACGACAAAGTAAGTATAATTTAAGGATTGTTTGTTTTTAATTCAAATGTCTTTAAATGTCAAGATGTTATATTTAGATCTAATTTTATAGTTTTTATTTCCTCAAATGAAAAATTAATAAATCCACAATTTAAATATTCTATTCATATTAGGTTATAAGGTGATGGTGCAATTTGGTGTGGTAGTAATTTATAGTAATGACAATGTTAGTTGATAGTGATATTGTGAAACAATAAAGATGAAGTTAATTGGTGATGGTAATAACTAGTAATTTAGCAATGTTTTAACACTTATGATGGTTGAAATAACGATGGATTTGATATGGGTATAGTTGGTGGTGAACTGGTGATGATCTTGGCCGCAATGGTTGTGGTAGTTAGTGATAATGCGATTGTAGTAATTGATAATGATAGTGATGATGATTATGAATTGTGACAGTAGTAGTAGAGTTGTAAGGCCTTGGAGGTAATTATTAGTGGTACTATTAACGGTGATATGCATAGTAATTGTACAATGATAACTCGTGGTGATTATTAAGTATTAAAATTTGGAAAAATTTCATATATGACAAACATAATTTATGAAATAGCATTCTATGGGTATAGTTTACATAATTACATTCTATGGGTATAGTTTAGTTTGTTATGTAGCTTTTAATTTGTATAAAACTTTTTTATTTGTTTTTAATTTATACAATATTTTGCTTTTTCATTGAATGGTAAAAGTAGCGCTAAATACAGTAACAAACATTTACACAATCCCATGATTTAAGCTAAACGTTCAAAATCAAATATTTTCCCAAAAAATAATTTTATAGCGACAGAAAGACCATACTAACTTGTTTCCGGGCACGACTGAATCATCAGATTGATCAATTTTTCGGTAACGACAGATAAGGTTTCATTGAAGAAAACTTCATATTTTGAACTGCAATATAGTATATAATTGATTAGTATAACGTAAATGTTGAAATTATGAAACGATTTCTACTTGTGTGTCGATTATAAAAAAGGAGTTATCATTTTTTTCTTATTTATACAATATTAGATAAATCGTATGAAACACCCAGGCGTTAATGACCTTATTTGTATATATATAAATTGATTATATTGTATATATTTGAGAAATTGTATATAATTTTTTATACAATATTTGTGTGTAATTGATTATGTGTTATTAACTGTATATGTGACTATCATAATATGAAAATTGTATATATGACAGTCGTGCTTGTTTCAAAAAAAAAAAAGAGTGTGTTGTATTTGTTTTTAATTTTTTTTGTGTAGTCTGTTTGTATATTTGAGTGTGTAATGTTTATATATACAATATTTTATTATTTTCATATTATTTTTTTTGTATATATCTAGGAATTTGTATAATGTACAATAATTTTGTATATGTATTATATTTGTATATGTGCATATGTAATTTCGTGTTTTTTTTAAATTAATGACTAAACTGATTGTATAATATTCATTTGTCAATTGTATATGTGGTAATCTTGAAATAGGTTTGTATATATAACTGTGTAATGTTTATATACAAAAAGGTGTACTGTAGTCTGTTTATACACACAACTGTGTACAGTTTATGTACAAAAGTGGAAGTACGATTGGATGGAGAAGGTCGAAATTTTCCCAATTCGAAATTCAAATTAGAAGGGGAAGAGTGATTTTAGGAGAAAGATATGGAATGAGGATAGGAGAGATAAATTTGATTTTGTATAAAATTATATACAAAATCTCTGGATGACTTTTTTGATTCGGTATACAAATAGGTTGTGGGTCCCATTAATTATGGCAAAAAAATTGAAACTGTATTTACTGACAATAAATAAATAAAACTATACCCTTATTAACTAATTACTTAGGGATGTTTGCCATCCCACGTAATTTTCCCTTAAAATTTCAATAATAAGTCATCTTCACAATAAATATATATATATATATTAACCACTACTTAAAATTTGAATAATTCAAATATATTAAGATACATTTAATAATAAAATCTTTTAAAAAATAATCACATGACTTGGGTTTTGTGGTTTCTTCGTGGGGCAATAATGGAACAAACAAAATACCCTAACATGAGGTTTAGGATATTTTGCAATATATTAAATGGCATACACTGCACAACGTAGTCCAGAACACAGCCAGAAAATAATTCGACAAAAAATAATATATTTCCAAACTCATTTTGTGGTAAAATGCTAAATATTTTTTCATTGTTTTTATTTTCCACGAGTTTGGCCACTTAATATTTCCAGACCTTGTTGAGGGAAATAGAGACTGATTTTGGATTTTTTTGATGGTTTTGTGGTAGAAAATTTTAGACAAGTCTTCATACATGTGGTTTGTTGTAATAAATAAAGCAATTATGTGGTGCAAAGCTAAAACGTCTCTGTTTCCTTGCCAAGATATTATTCTTTAGAAATGTCTATTCTAGTATTGTTCAAAAAATAAAACTAACTTACTACTTAAGAATATAGATTTTTCTTTGGCTCAAATTGTGCAATTGAAGAATATTCATCAAATCTATATATTGGTTTGTGGACTGTAGAAGATAGGATCTAAACTTTACGAATTTTAAATTTGCCACAATACTCATAAATCTTAGAATACTTTGAACACATGTTAGACTCTTAAATTGTGGTAGACTCCCCAAAGCACAATTAAATCGTTTATTAACATCAAGTCCTTATAATAACGATTACATAATTCAAACCTTTAAATCGTTTGGGGTTTCCTTGAAATTTTGAGAGAAATTAAGGTTGTGTTTGAGACACGAAAGCTCAATTATTTTTAATAAAATGATAATTATTTGTATGGGTAATTGCTTAGACAGTGAAACATATATTTTTAACTTACTAAATATTGATAATAATATTATCAACTTTAAAATTTATAAGCATTCAAGACTAAAGCAGTTATACAAAATTAAGAATCAGAGATAATTGTGATAAAAAAAATGACTTATGTCCGAGAGAGAGGGAGATCATTTCTTATTTCCTTTCTTTTAGTGGAAATTGGAAGAATAATTTCCTTTTCTAGCAATTCTAATAAATACTTTCGTCCTTAATCAGATTAAATAGTTTGCGTGTGACAACATTATCCTAAAGTAACTTGCTATTTTACTTTAAATATTATTATTTCGAATTTAATTCACTTCTTTCTTTTCCAAAAGAAGAACCAACGGGTAAATTCTCTACTTGATTGCTGAATGCTCTCCTATTAATTGGAATTAATTGTCACCTCCTATTGTTTAGTTGGGATAAAATTTTGGAGATTCATAAAATAGCTTTTATAACATCTATATAATTAAGCAAAATTTTATATTTCTATCAACTAATTAAAATTGTGGGAGTATGCGTATCTCATATGCAATGTACTTTATTTTGTTTGTTTATGGTACCCTTTTGTTTCAATTTTTCAACTATCACTACAATAAAAATAACTTTTAGCGGTAATAAATAAATACATTAATAAAAGAGTGCTAAAGTATTTATCGGCATTAGTTAAGTGTCATTAGATTCAATATCGCTAAAGGCTTTAGGGACATATACAACCTAATTCTCGCTAAAAATATATATTTAATGGTAATTAAACTATTGCAATTAATTAATTACTAAAGATATTTTTTATGCAATGGAGTAACTAATTGAACGTCAATTGTGGTTCTAATATATAAAATGAACTACATATGTAGACGTGCTACAATACTTTCTGTATGTTCTTTTCATAAGATTAAATTATTGTTTCCAAGAAAACTTATCCCCAACACTATAACCATGCTAGCTTATTCTTAAAAAGAAAAAAAATACTTTGTCATATACTATTATATATGACTTGTCTCTTTAATTTCTAGTATATCATTTTTATAATGTTATTTGTCTGATTATCTTGAACGTATTTCAATCCATTTCTCGAGTACCCGTTACTCCCTCTCATACGAGTACAAAAATAAAAATTGCCCATCAAAGCTTAAATTAATAGAATAAAAAATAATTGAAG